CTTCCCCCAACATCCGTATACTGGACTCTAGTACAAAATTTAAAACTGCTCTCAAAACTCATCTTTTCAAATTAGCATACTCACTGTAATAATGTACAAGACTGATTCCCATTTGATTGTTGATGTTTTAATTCTTTTATCTTTTTTGTTTTTATGCTGTTTTAATGTTGCTATGTACTATTGCTGCTTGTCATATTTTTTATGTTGTAAGGTGAGTGTCATCAAAGGTGCCATCAAATAAAAAGTTTTATTAATATTTAGTGTGTAGGATTTAGTGACATCTAGCAGTGAGGTTGCACTCACCCTTGCGTTCCAAGAGTGTAGAGGAACCTACCGTGGCTGTGAAACTTGCACAAGGTTCTCTTTATAGCTAATGTTTGATTTGTCTATTCTGGGCTACTGTAAAAACATGGCGGTGCAACATGGCGACCTCCATGGTAACAAAACACAACAATTCTTATTTTAAGGTGATTTTTAAACACATCTGTTCAGTTACCCCGCACAAGTCATGAGGGATATTACAATATTGCCCATTGTGCATGGAGAATTAAGGTAGCAGCAGTGCAGCAAGCATCCAAGCATTTTTGATGCTTCAGCTGTAGCATTTGTATGGTTTAGTGGTCAAAAAGTCAGAAAATCAAGTGACCATTCATTAAGTCCATTATTCACAACCTATTAAGCACAGAGAAAACCACAAATTTAGCTCTTAATTCATTCAGTGAATAAACCACCTGACTCAGCCAGGTGAAATGTAGGCAGGTAGTTGGAAAGACATTCTTTCATTAAATGAGTCATTCCTTCCCTCTGTGAGATGGAGCCGTTAAGAAACATGAGACACCTGGCGACTCAGTTGGCTCAGGCACATGCAGTAGATGACATTAGCCGAATCACATTTGAGTACAGTGTTAACTTCCCTCGACTATGATAGGCAGCCTGTGTGATATGCGTCATGTGGAGGGACACAAAACAGAGCAATGTGAACCCCTCACCATTTCATCTTCTGTTACTGTGGACACTACAAAGGACAGCATAGTCTGTTAAAATTATAAAAGTACTTGCCACTCGTTGCCATCTTCGTTCATCTCAGAACTGAGAGCCTGAGAGATCCTCCAAGCAAACACGCTCCCTAACATTGACCAAGAGAGATACTGGGGGGATCACTTTAAAACAGTCAAATTAGTTTTAGAAGTAGTATGCAGAAACATCCAAGACAGATGGAAATCTGGGAAGGTGGTTGACGTCAACACCCACAGTCATACAGAGGACACACCAAGCTATTGTTGCATTTATTTGAACCTTGATCAGAGTTACAACCCATCAAGACAGGGGGAAAAAGTTTGTCTTGCCCGTACTTAATATAGGTGCTCATCCATGTGTTTGCATTACTTTATGGACAGTTGTTAGCTAGCTTGCTGTTATAGTTGACTGTTTTTGAAACACAACCGATAAAGTTATTCTTCTACCGTTTTTCGCAGTTCGGGTGTATTACAGTTAAGACAGATTGTGTTAACAAAAGAGTGTTCAATATCTGGATTTTTCCTGGATGTGAGACAGTTGAAATGGCATGTGTAAATGGAGCCTTCAGGTCTTCCCACATTGGACTGAACATGCAGTCATGGTGGTTGCTGATCACCTTGTGAAGGCAATATCAAGAGTTTAGGCAAAATCAGGCTAAAATAGCTAACATTTGTAGTATTACCTTCATTTACATTTCCCACCTGTCAAAACCATTTCACACCTTAAAATTGCAAGGTTTTGCAGGAAATTCAAATCAAGTTGGCCAGTCTTCATCTGAGTAGACGGCATCAGAGAGTAGGCAGTCCTCAAAGGCATAACACATCCGGGTGTTGCAGTGGACTCCCCCGAGTGTGAATGAGGAGGGAACGTTAAACACTTGCAAATGAGATTCAGCAAGACATCCTGGGTTTAAATCTGTCTTGATGTTGGCTGCATGGCTTCCAGCGCTCTCTTGTACAGTTTTTCAATCCATTGAGACTATACCAAGAGAGGAGAAAGTGTCTTCAAAAAGAAACAGAAAACAGGTTGTTGGCATGGCATACACAGCAAACTGGAAGTTTGGGTGGGGTGATTTCACTTAGTCGCAGTCATCAGACAAGTAATAATGGCACACAGAGCAAATACTGAAGAAGTCACTCAAGCATGGAGGGAGTCAGTTACTTGAGTTCAACTCATGCAGCCTTCAAAACAGAATCCCTTTATGTTTACATGCAAATGTCTCCCCGTGGACGTCTTTTCTGTGTGAATATGTGTACTTACAAGCCATACTGTCTGTGTCAGGGAGGATATGTGTGTGTGCCTCCATGTACTCATGTGATTGAGTGTTGTACGTATGTGTAAGAGATGAGTTTTCAATGCTTTTCACTCAAGGCTACTCAAGTTTCTTCAAAAAAAAAAAAAAAAAGTGAAAAAAGAAAAGCTAACCTTTCTATCTGTCCAATCAGTCGTGAATTCTATGGCCTTGTGGGTGATCTAACCAATTAAAATGAATATATTTTGTCTTCCTTTCAAGGTTTGGATTTAACAAGCAGCAGAACGAAATATTAATTCCAACCATGCTGATAATTCACACTAAGAACAGCCAAGGACACTTGGACAAAAAAAGTTCTTGTGCTCTTTGTATTTCTTTTTTATACCATCATGCTGACATTTGTCCGTCTATGTGGATACAGGAATCCAATGCATACACGAAGAGTTGCCCTGGTAGCACCTTGCTGCATAGATTTTCATATTAATGAGCAGAAAACAATTTCCCTGAAACTACTGTAACTTCTCAATGCTGTAAGGTAGACTTAATGTTCATACCTTGCAAAGCATGTTGACATAAATATTTGGCTTAATTAATGTATTCAGTCACACTGATTATATTTAATACAGTATCATGTTGATTGTGGTGCAATGTTGTTTTGTCTTGTTTTATTCATACCCTTGGTAGAAAACTTTTGAGCGTGTACACATGCAAAGGTGACCGTTTAATAATTAATTCGTAATGATAATGACTCATCAAGATGTTTTCGACTTTGTTTTCTACACTGCTGCATTGATTTCTCGCTATAATCATATTCACTGCCTGCTACAGAGCTCAAAGAGTGAAACATGAATCAAATTTTAATATTAGGATCGTTCTCAAAATGAGACCCCAGGTGCCACATTTTCTTCAGCTGCTGATAACTCACGGGTGATGGTGTTCATCCTCCTTCATCCTTTTTCTGCCTTTGACATTGCTGCGGTAATGTTGGGATAGTCATTCCCCTTTTACTACTTCTGTTAGGAAAGATATGTTTTACTTTTACTCTTATTTTATCCCCATCCATTGTAATTCTTTTGGCTTCAAGTATAAAGAAAAAAAAAATAGGAAGGCAGAAGAAATAGAGTTAACAGGTGGTGATGAATGTAAAGGGGAAAGAGGAGACAGAAATGGTGGGGAGCTGATCTGGCGCGGGCTGCCTGCCAAGAACTAAGGAGCAGAGAACTGAGGAATGGAGTAGGTCTGGGGAGCAGGATGGAGTTGTGTAGAGCAGATTGGGTATTAAAGTTGAGAGGAAAATGCAGAGCAGGAGAGAGAGAGAGATCTAGAGATGAGGGGATTGGAGGTTAGGAGAAGAGAGAATGAGGGAGAAAAGCTGAGCGGAATAGATGAGGGGTGGAGGAAGTGATAGGAGGAGATAATAAGAGAGGAGGGAAGAGAGGAAGCCGACAGACAGATTTAGGTTATGTTCTCAGGAAGCATTAACAACTGGGAGTAGGAAACAAGAGGAATACACAAGACTACATTTTGGACGCTAACAGCTCCCTTTAAAAGGTACTACTGCTGAAAATAAAAAGGGCTAATATGATGGATTATCCCAAAACTCAACTACTGTACTGTACTGTATTTTCCAGCTTGACTGATGCCATTGGCACATTAAGCCTTACCTGAGGACATGTGTTACATGTGTTTTTCCTGGTGTTTGATAATGTAAGATTAAATCTGCAATAACTGATTTCCTGACCACCTGTGGGCAGGAAAAACAAACTGTACACATAACATTGACATATTATCACCGGCAGATATGAAATCTCTTCACCAACTCCTGAGGAAAATATCTAACTCTTCAGCTGCTAAATGCTCCACTATGTTCACCAGCTAGTTGCTAACTGTGCTTGTGTGCAGTTTGGTGCTGGGCAGGCAGTGTACAGAGAATTTTAGAAGGCTTTATCCTTGTAAACAGCTTCCTGCTATGGTCGAAAACAACTGTGATGAAAAGTGTGAGTGTGAACCAACAGTGAACTATGATCTGAAAGAAGCCTTAAAGCTCATTGTGCTGAGGGGAACTGTAGAGTCAGGTGGGTTCATCACTATGAGGGACCCCTTTTAACATTACAGATCATTTCTTCCATAGTGGTAATACATAGTAGTAATATCAAATTAATATCAAAACTTACATCTAGAAGTGCATTATGTCTCTTATTAACTTTAATTTAATTAATTTCACATTGTGGAAGTCTGGAATCTACCTTGTTTTTATCTGAATCACTCTGAATTAAAGATGTAAAGATGCATAAGATCTTTTCATTTGGTTGAACAAAAAACACTCTACCATATGAAATAATAGAAATAGAGCGTAGAGGAATCACATAAAATTGTTTGTGGTATTCTGTACTGTGACTTGTACAGTTATTTTTTCTATATTTATCCATCTTTACGTCCACCCACAGCATACACCTTCACTACAATAATGAACAAAGTTTGAGGTGGAAATGCAGTTGCAATCAAGCTCTATGGTTGTAAAACATAAAATTACTGTCACTGTCTTTTGAAATTATTGTGTACACATTCACTGAAAGTTGTCAACTTTGGTTTGATTGTGAAAACACATAAATGGTGTTTTAAACCAGGTTAATTATACATTTTCTGGCTGACAACTACAGCATAACTAAAGATGGAGAAGAGAGAGAGATAAAGAGAGAGGGAAAAAGAAATAACCTATGCAGCCAGTCTAGGAAAAAGTCATCCATTTTTGTTTTATTTTATTAGAAAATGTCCACACACCATAAAAATTACATGTACAAAACTATAAGATTTGAAATTGCTTTATGTACACATACAAAAGATAAAGCCCAAAGAAAAAATAAGGGGAACACAGAAGGAGAAAAGTGAAGACAAAGCAATTGTGTTTGTTTTTGGGGGTGTGTGTTTCTTCTTGGACGGGTCAAAGGGTTTGAGGTTCTCTGTCTATTTTGCTCTTCTAACAACGTACATCTCTGCAGGTAACCATGTCACAACCACAGTCATGATGATAATGGTAATAATGACACTGGGGAATGGCGGTGAGTGCAATTACGTGCACACATGGAAAGTACATGAGACGGCACCTGTGTACCCACTTGTGTATCCCATTTACAATATTAAATCTGAGTGAAAGCATGAGAATGATGAGAGAGATGCTTGTATAGAGCACCTGCGTCATTCTGTTGATTATTATAAAGGAATATCTGTCAGACAAACATTAAGATGTAACTCTTCAGAAATAGAACATTAAGTGAGATGTGACCTGTTATCAATCATGCTGTGTGCACGTAAACACACTCCATGGTGGTAATGAAGTTGTCATAATGAAGATGTACAAAGGTCCTGGATGACTACAACCATGATGTTAGCAATGCAGGTGGTGCAGTCAAATAGCATTTTTCTTCATATTAAAAGTACTTAGCTTTTCAGTGTAGAACTCTGGACCTGTAAACTTATTCAGTGAAGACAGTAATGGTGATGATTTTGATAAAATGACCCCGCTACTTTATTTTTTCTATCTTATCTGTTCATCTGTTTACTTCTTCACTTCAGACATGTGGCTTTCCTCCTGATCAGCAGCTGTGAAAGAAAGAAAGAAAGACAAAAAGAAAGAAATCAGCTTGCATTACACTGTGGTTTATTAAAAAACCTTTTAACTGTTTGTGTAAGTCATGGCTAATGAATAAGTTGTGGGTATGACCCAACATTTATTTAATATCTGAGATTTAGAATTCCAAACAAGAAAAATGTAACACGGATGTAATTCTCAGATGCATAAATGAATATCTGAAGATTTCCAATCCGGGTTCTTAACACCCGATAGCAAAAAGCTGCACCATATATTCAGCCTTGGGCAAAAACATGTGTTTAGCTGGAAGAAATGTGCTGTTTGTCTGGATAACATTTCTGATTTGTGTGTCATGGGCAAAACGCTGCGGGTGTGTTTTGGCATGTGTGTATTTGTGTGATTTTTTTTTTTTAACATGGCCACAGAGCCGGAGTCAGTTGCACCTCTGTGGATAAGACCAGGCAAAATCAGCAGCTGACAATACAGGCAGCTACTTCCTAGGCTACTCTGATTAGAAAACATCTACAACCCACATTATTTAGTCAGAGTAACAATGATGGACACGACAAACACAGTGCCAGCTTTCTCATTCTCAGTGCTCTACAAGATGCTGAAACAAACGAGGGTTAAAAGTGCTTGACAAAGTTTCTTTGACTGATTCATGTCATCTCTGCATTCTGCTTATAATGCAAAACTGTAAAATAACAGGATTTCTAAAAACATTGAATCCATGTTGGATTCCCCAGTCAAATTACTAAATGTTTTCTGCTAAGTGACTATAGATTTATGGGAAAAATGTGATGGAAAGCAATTGGTCGGCCCACCATCCTCGTTAAACTTGAGAAAATCTCCCACTGCTGCCCTCATTAGTATTGTAATGTGAGCATGGTAAAATGATTAGCTGTCACACTGTAAGCAGTCCTTACGGGGAAAACCTGGTGCTATTGTCAAATTGCTCATTGAGTGCTTGGCAGAAACAGTGTATAGTTAAATGTTATTGGTTAAAAAAATAAAAATAAATGGACAAAACAATTGTCTCCATATCCCCCCAATCTAACACAGCAAGCAAAATATAGATTAATACAGCATGATAAGTAACTTAATGGGAACAAGATGACAGGACATTGAAAAAAGAATGGCAGGCAAAAGTAAATAACTGGACAGTGCTCGGGCTGTGATATAGAACATTATTGAACAGTCAGAATTATTTCAAATTGCTAATGGTATTAGCAAGAAGCACAAACTTTGACCTCAAGCACACAATGTTGTCACCAGCTATCTTTTGGAATTTAGATGAACAAGGGCGGGAAATCTTAACACTGCGTGGTGCAAATTTGGGAAAGCAGGTGGAGGGTCAGCCTTCAATCAAATCAGCTCCTGGCAGGGCCTTTAAACCTCTAGCTCACGTGTTTGCTGCATAGTACGTGCACAAGACAGTAAACAAACCCAACTTCTGAAAAAAAAAAGTTGACCACCCCCATAAATAATTTCTGAATAAATTATGTAAGTGAAAATATATATTTAATAGAAGCCAACTCCATTTTTGAAATAATTCAGAGTTAAACACTTTTTGAAGGTTTTCTTTATGTCCTCCTATATATACTGAACTAAGTGGAAATTGGTTACTTCAACTTGATACCTTAACATGCTACTGGACTACATTTCCCAGATTCCATCTCTGTACTTGAGTTGCATCATCAGTGAGAGAATCTGGCTTATGGCTGATGTTGGCCCATAGAGCAAGTGCACCAGAGACTTCAGGCTAACTTCTGGTTTAGCCCTCTGTTAACTTGAATGGGGAAAAAACTATTTAATTGTGGGGCTGTTCCAAATGCCAAAGCACAATGATACAAGGTATCAAGGTCATTTATTCATCATTATACAACACAAGGTTGTACATCAAATTTACATTTTTAGTATACATACAGTTGGTCAGAAAATGTGATCTGCTCTTCATCTAAGTCACAACAATAGACAAACACAGTCTGCACTATTACTAATAAATATGTTTATGTTTTTATTGAACACACGTGTAAACAGTCATAGTGCATTGTGGAAAAAGTACGTGAACCCTTTGATTAAATAACTTATTGACCCTCCTTTGGCAGCAATAACCTCAACCAAACATTTCCTGTAGTTGCAGATCAGACCTGAACCTGAATCAGGAGTAATTTTGAACCATTCCTCTTTACAAAGCTGTTTCAGTTCAGCAATATTCTTGGGATGTCTGGTGTGAATCAGTCTCTTGAGGTCAAGCCCCAGCATCTCAATCGGGTTGAGTTCAGGACCCTAACTGGGCCACTCCAGAAGAAGAATTTTCTGCTGAAGCCATTCTGTTGTTGATTACTTCTGTGCTTTGGGCTGTTGTCCTGTTGCACCACCCAACTTCTGTTGAGCTTTATTTGGCGGGCAGATGACCTTTCATTCTCCTACAAAATTTCCTGATAAACTGGAATTTATTTTTCTGTCAATGAAAGCGTTTCCAGACCCTGAGGCAGCGGAGCAGTCCCACACCATGATTCCCCCTCCACCATACATCACAATTGAGGTTTTGATGTGTTTTTTTTTTTGGTCAGCAGTGACATCCTCCACGGTGTCCTCCCATGAACTCCATTCTTCTTTAGTGTTTTATGTATCAGCGTCGTTAACAGAGATGTTAGCATGTTCCAGACATTTCTGTCACCTTAGGATAGATCTTAACCTCATTGAGCATTCTTCACTGTGTCATCTTTGCAGGATGGCCAGTGCACTACACTTCCTCCATTGATAGACAATTTGTCCATTTGACAATTTTACCATGGACTGAACATGTGATGATGTAATGAACATCAAGGCTTTTGGAGATACTTTTGTAACCTTTTCCAGCTTCATGCGAGTCAACAGTTCTTTATCTCTGGTCCTCTATTTTGTTCGAGGTGTGGTTCACGTCAGGTCATGCTTCATGAGAATTGTAAAATTAAAATTGGTGTGTGTTTTTTTTGGCAGGGCAGCTGTAACCAACATCTCCAATCTCATCTCATTGATTGCACTCTAGGTTGGCTGACTCCTGACTCCAATTAGCTTTTCGAGAAGACGTTAGCTTAGGGGTTCACAGACTTTTTCCACAATGAACTGTGAATGTTTACACAGTGTGTTCAATAAAAACATAAAAACATAATTGTTTGTGTGGTATTAGTTTAAGCAGAGTGTGTTTGTCGATTGTTGTGACTTAGATGAAGATCAGATCATATTTTATGAACACTTTATGCAGAAATCCAGGTAATTCCAAAGGGTTTACATACTTTTTCATGCGACAGTACATAGCTTCACATAAACAATACATATATAATTCTGCAGGGCCTTTTTTAAATTTGTGTCTGGCAGTAACAAGATGAAAATGATAATATGATTTTCATCTTCACATAAAAAGTTCAACATTTGAGAAACAGTGTCCATCCACTTTTACTGCATTTGAGCACCAGTGTAAACACAGAGAATGCCTCCTCCCATCTTGCTGGAGTCTTGTGCTGTGTCAGCTCACAACATGGTCCCTCTGTCAAGTGCTTGATGGAGCAGGTCTCTATAAATATATTTTTGATTTCCCATTGCTCGTCCAGACCAGATAATAGTAAGGAGCAGCTTTAAGTCCAAGCTGGGATAGCATGGCTCCTATTTGGGTCTCTCTTACCGGTCGGCCACAAAATGGCGGGATTGTGCAATAATCAAGATGCCGCCTGCTTACACTCGGAGCAACAACATCGGCGGGTTTTGGAGTTAAAACATTGAAAAATATTTTTCTTAATCAGTAATTTTGCCCACAGCACTGTTGCCCCCTGTGCACACTGAAGCATAGGAAAATAAATCTGTGCAATTTAGCTATCTCTGAAGGTTCAGTGTGTAAGACTTAGTGGCATCTAGTAGTGAGGGCTATGAATTGCAACAATCTGTCCAGTCTATCACTGCCCCCTACCATTTCAAAGAGTGTAGGACAGCTACGGTGGGTGACAGAGCACAAAAGGTGTTGTCTTCTGAGACAGCAGAGAGTAGCCACTCTAGAAATGAGGTTTAGCTATATTTATTAAGAAATTATATTTACTTAATTATTCAGTAAAACCAGATATTATTGTGACTTGGCCACTGACAGATAACATGGAAAATGTAAGCCAAGTGTGTGGTGCTTTGATAGCGGCAAAAAATATAAATAAATAAATACTTTGATAGTTGTGCTGAAATAGATCTCAGTCATGACAGAAACAGTTACTCACATAAGGACTTCCTCTTTAGTGGTTTTTCCTACCAAATAAAAGTGTGAGAAGTTTGTTTAATGCAATGCTGTATTTAGAATTGAACTGAGCTTTTATTTAGAAAAATTCTGAAAGACATTAAAAGAGTCTGTAGCCTCCTTGACACACCTCTGAAAGAGCCGTCAGAAAACGGGATTCCCCTAAATGTAGAAATGAGATACTGGGGAATTGCAAAAGTGTCCGTAGGTCGCAGCACATGCAGTGATCTGAGAAACATTTGCTGCAGAATCCATTTGTTGAAGAGAGAAAAAAAAAAAGTTGTCCCAAGGTGGGATCAAAAACTCATCCCTTGGGTCAGTGCAAGTCAGTATCATGGCTTATATTCTCATCCACCATTTAATGGTTGAAAAGATTGCTCTGATGAAAAACTTATTTGCAGATCCCTGCTCTATATTATTACTACTTCTTCTTCTTCTTCAAATTTACGTATTCAGCATAGTGATGAGTGTCTACACTGACTGAATTCTACCAGAAGAAGAACGTAGTGATGAAACGCGCTCTGTAGCGCTGTTTGTCCATTTTCAGCTACTGCAGAAACATGACGACACAACGTGGCGACGTCCATGGAAGGGGGGACCCCCGGTTATGTAGATATAAGTGGCTCATTGTAAGGTAAAAAAAAACAACATAATGGTTTATTATGTAAGGTCTTTACACACCACTGAAAACATAGTTGTGGATTTCATATTGCATTTCTTGATAGATCCTCAGAAATATTACACACTGGA